GGGAAAACCGCCACATTTAAATTTATGTTGATGTTGCACATCCAAATCGGGCGTTACTTTCTGTGGCGACTGTACAAACCTTTATCATCTAGACATTTCTACCAACAATTTAGATGATGTATTTTATATTCTGGCAAGAGAGCTTCGACCTACAATTAAATATCTTAACCAAACTTTCCAAGCATGAATATATCCACTTTCTGGAAGTTACTCATCACAACCTAAAATATCTTTGCCTTCTCATATTCGCAAATCTCATGAAAAGTTGCTTGAGAGTTATGGCATCAAATCAGAAGAAGTTTGGTCTAAAAATATTTAGTCATTTCTTTCTTCTCTTATTTTTTTACTTTATATTCAATCTAATCTACTTTTTTACCTTATTATCGTTATTTATAGGAATAGATCCAGATTACTTTATGCATACATAATTAGGATTAGATTCTATTAAGAATGCATATCTATATTGTTGCTAAATTAATATTAATTTCAGTACATGTATAACTCGGTTTATATCGATTCACAAGCTATGCAAATTTACTTTTTTAAAAGTGTGACTTTTCATTTTGAAGTTTAATTTTGTTAATGAATTGCTTTTTAAAAAATAAAAACATCAAAAATTTATATTTGGCAGTATTTTCAGCTGGTTGATTCTAACGATTTGTTGCTTTAACCGTTAGGTAATACACAGTTATTATATTTTTTGCTAAAGCGTTCCTTTTTATATCACATCTGAACGAAAGAGTTTAGACGAGAGCTTTTTTATTTTAATTACAGTGCTCACCATATATAATGAGAAAATACGCCGTTTTTTATTTCTGCATTACAAATACTATTTGAAGATATATAAAAATTTACAGATATAATTTAATAAATAGCAAACGAGTTTTTTTAAGACTACTTAATAACATATCTTATTTCAATTATTCTCAAAAATTTTCTTTATTGGCTTTTTTAATACTCTAAGCTACCAAGTTGCCTTAAAAAAAACTTGTTCGTAATATATCAAAGTATATATATTTAAATTTTTATATGTTTCGATCAATATTCATGATGTATAAAAAAACTACCAATTAGATTAATTAACTTGGTTTCATTTATAGTGTACTATCGGGATTAGTTCAGATAATTGGAAGTAATTACAATAAGATATTCTGTAAAGCAGTCTTAAGTAAACGTGATCGCAATATAAACCGTATATCTGCAAACTTTAATATAATTTATTTTTTTCATAGCACAATAAGGAAAAACAGCATTCTCATTATATATGACGAGCACTGTAAAGGAAATTATTTTAAGAAAGTTGTTTTTTTTTAGATAAATCTGTTAAAATATTTAACGCTAATAACAAAAAAAAAAGGATTAAATATTGCGTGTAAGTGTCAATTAATCTAATATCACAAAAAAATGAATAACTATTTATAATTTAAAGAATAATAATACCTTTGAAACATAAAGTTTATTATTCAAATTTTATAATAAAATATAGTAAAAAGTGAAACCTTATTTACTAATAAATATATCAAATAAAGATAATAACCTATGTATTTTTTCAAATTTTTAGAAAATTTTAATAATCTGACAATTTTTCTTCGACATTGACAATGACTTCCATAAGTTTGCATTGATTTTTACATATGATTTGATAATGAATTATTTTAGTCGTTTTTATGAAATTAACAATTTTTAGATTTGACAATAATCACAATTAGATCAATAATTAATATTCCAGCTTAACGAAAATTGATTTGTAGATAGACTTAACATTAATATTTTCAACTAAAATATATTTGGATAAACTGTCACTGTTGCATGACTATATAGATTTCGAAATATTGTAGACGCGTCCAATCTGATGAGCTTTTGAATGCTTGCGTTCTCATTGGGCTATATAAATAAATAAATGGAATCCAAGACATAATGATAGGGATGTTAAAGGTCCAGTTTAGTCCGATTCCGTCCGAAAAACTAGACGGGACTACGTAATGCAGATGATTGACCTGACTAGAATAGATCGATACAGGGAAGGATCGAACCGGATTGAATAATGCAGCAAAGAATTGGACTGGACAGTACTGCAGGTCACTAAACTTCATAAACTTAGTATGGACGTAATAAACTTTTAAACCATCGCTTTAATGAAATAAGAATGATATCCAAACTAGATACTATATATGGTGTTGCATAGTTTGCATCACATGATAGTCGCGGACTGGTGCTCTTGTTTTACTTATATCACGTGGAAAATTCGGATGGACATGCTTTTTGATCATTAATTATGAAAACTACGTAAAGTACATTTAAATAAAAGGAAATTTGTTCTTAAATCACGTCTGGATCGATCCTCTCCTATATAGATCCTATCCTAATCAATCCTATGGATGGACCATCCTACTGAATCTACGTACATTAAAGCTGTCGCTAAAACAAGAAATAAAAATATTTTAATAATATAATTTTCCTTGACTATTATTTGATAATAATGTTATCACTAATTATTTAGTACCCTAGCCACGGCAAAAAAAGTGCCTTTCACGTGATTCGTTCCCGATGTCGACCATCCGATGTCCCTTTAAAATCATGCACCAATCAAATCGAGATCAATGTGTAATACAAAAAATTGAAAACAAACGCTTACTTTTAAAAAATAACTTGTATCTTGACAGTTCACTTATAAAACAATCATTTGTGTTCTAACAAAAAATGTTCCTTGCGAAATTTTACTATACAATATGTTCACGTTTATTACCTAACACTAACCGAAACTCTATTTAATATTATACATGATTTTAAGGGGGATATCGGATGGTCGACGTTGGGATCGGAATCACGTGATTTATTGTCTTGATTCAATAACAATGAAATTTTCCACTCTTCCGACACATACTCAATAGGGCATTTATTGTTCGTTTTATGGTTTTTGAAATCTAATTTTATTGAAAATCAAAATTAGTATGTGATATTTTAAAATGTTGAGACACGTTGCTTTTAACAAAAAAAAACTTACTTTGTGTTGAATGGTTGATATTTTTGTACTTAAATTTGCATTTTTCCCATCATTCTCAATATAAATATCAAACTCTTGCGAGACATATGCTGATATTATAAGACAAAACACAAATTAATAAATAACTAATAATCCTTTGCTGTGTACAGTCACGATATAGATAATAAATTTTACCTTCATTTGTTTCGTTCGGAACATATAAACTGATACTTATAGATATGGCATCAAGATCTATATCATATTCTGTAGTCACATATGATATCGCTACAGTCATATGCAACAAGTATTAAAATAATATATACTTATCTTTAATAAAAAAATTAATAGAAAAAGTGAATTTTACCTTTATTAGAATCATTTGGAACATACAATTTGACACTTGTAGAACCTGAGAATTCAATATAATTAATATCAAATGTAAATATGATTTATATTTAGAAAATAGTAAGTACCTGTATCATTTGGAATTGAAATAAATTTCGTAGCAAAGTTTCGACTGGTGTAAACTGCATTCGAGTGGAGTTTTTGTTTTTTATTCATATTTGTAAGAGTGTTTTTTTGCAATTTCATCTCCTCATCAAGTTTATTTAATCTCTGCTTTTCTAATTTAAGACACTTTTTAATTTCTAAAGAGCTAGTGCGATAGTACTGAAAATGCAAAGTATTTAGTTTCCCCTCCTTATTGATACAGAGTGTATATTCTATAAAGTAGATTGCTTCATTGATAGAGTAGATTGCATAATAGATAGAGTAGATAAAATTGAAAAGTTCCTCAGTCGTTGGTCTGTTTGCTGGAATAGGATCCCAACATTTTTCAATAATAAATTTGCACCATCCCAGAGTATTATTTGGTACCTTAGGTCGTACGCCTTTATAAATGTCATATACAAGATATATATCATGACTCCGTTCACCAAATGGTCGTACACCTGTTACAATCTCATACATAATCATTCCAAAACTATAAATATCTGCAGCCTGAGTGTATGATTTTCCATTTAGCACTTCCGGACTAATATAAGGAAGTACTCCGTAAATCTCGTGATTAGAATTTTTTACATTTGCTGGACCAGTAAGTCCAAAATCAGCAATTTGAGCATAATGCTTGATTAGTATATTTCCAGGGTGACAGTCACGGTGCACAAATCCCTCTCTGTGAATTTTTCTCAGATCGTCGATAATACTGAATAAATATTTTAATTTTTTATTCCAATCCATTTGTTCGTATTTGGAATTAATATATTCGCGTAGGTCGCCATCTTCCGCATAAGTCATTACTATCGAGTATACATTTGTAGCTGGGTTTTGAGTTATCCCATGATACTTCAGTCCATCGTTTCCAACAGTGAACTTTAGAGCAGTCAGAATCTAATTTGAAAAAGTAAATTATATTGAAAAATAAAAAAGAACCATGCTTATACTTTACCTCAGTTTTAAACTCAAATGTAATTTGGTTTGAATTGTGTAATGATTTCAACACAACGTTGGTTTTTCCCTTTCGTTTATTTCTATTCTTTTCACCATTCCATCTATCAGTCGATGGTCCGTCCAACCAGGTTGCTTTATAAATTGATCCAGAACCTCCTTTTGCAAGATATTCAATATTGGTGAACCTTTCAAAAGAGATCCATTCAAAATCTTCACTAATTTTATGGCATTCATTTATTAGCATTAGGCAGACGACATCTTGATTTTTTCTAGACCATTCAGTTTCATAAATTCGTTCGAGATATTCCAAATAATCATCGCAGTGCTCATTGCATTTGCAATCATGAATATTAGATTTCATATTTGAATCCACTTTATGTGCAGTAAAACTTTGAAATGATGGTAAAATAAGTGATTGGTTTATATATGCAATGTAGTCTATTAACGCTATCATGAAATATCACATTATGCATTTGGTGAATAAGTACATATTTCTATGATTGATGCCAATTTTTATTATCATTTATGTTGTGTTTCTGTTTTCAGTTTCAATTTTATGCATTGAAAAATGACATTTTAAAACATTATGACATATCATAATGGATTATTATTATTTAGAACTGTGTAATTATTACATGTAGTATATAAATTGATTGTTGTGTTAAGAGTCATGTGTGCGTATATCAATTTTTTTATTGTTATGCATGAATAAGGACAATTGTTTGAATTATTTATAATTACGTTTACTTTAGATTATATTATTGATATTATATTGATATCTTTTGAAAGTGCAATGCTTTTATCTTTACTGATTACCTGTGCATACGGTGGTGATATTTAAGTTATGTATCGTTATTAGTATTATTAGCAGACATGATTGAGTCTTTTATTTGATAATTTAATGTTAATTAATAATTAAATAAGAAAAAAAGATAAAAACTTGCACTTAAAGACATTGCACAAAATTTTTGTCTAAAGGATGTTCTGTATAAAATTCCTCGCACAGCTAGAAAGGGATAAGTATTCTAGTGGTTTTTGTGAACATCTAGGAAATCCAGCATCACTAGCACAGTAGGCGGAAAAGAAAACAAAAACGAGAAATCGAAATTTTATAACCAGCGGGCTTTCTTTATGATTAGCTAATTTTTGTAGAACAGTTTTAAATTCTATTGGTTGATAAAAATAGCATGCTTTCTTAATGATTAAATCGCTTTGTTAGATACTACGGAAAGCCATTCTTTTCACAAATAATATCATCTTATCCATTCAGGTCACAGTATTCTTCCTTCCTTTCTCTTACCTTTTTTTTCACCAACAGGACGCTGTAAAGGCAACATATATAAAATAAAATAGTAAATTAATATATATATATTTTATTTTGTCGAAATTCTAATTCTGAAATACTAAATTGCAAAAACTCCTCTATAGCTAACTTCCGAATTACTTCTCATTTTTTCAAATTACTTTAATGATTTATAGAATATAACGTATACTACCAAGTCGAAAAAATTTTAGTATATATTAACTTAGATGATCTTCAGAGATACATTTTGAAGGTCAACCAATCAGATTTAAGCCCGCTATACTACCGCAAAGGTTATACATGTAATAACGATAACGATAAACGTGCAATGTTTACAGATCAATGTTACACTCAGAAACACGTTATTTTTTGATTGGTACCGGATAACTACACAAACAATTAGGAAAACCGGAATTCCGTCTAGAAGTATTGCTTTAAAACATTGAAAGACTTGTAATTACGTAGTCGAGTACAGTCACACTGTTAGTCCAATAGTAATTTTCTCATGAATGTAATTATTATAGCTGGTTCTTGAAAAAAAGGATGACTACAGGTATATCGTGGTTTTATATGATGTAATTATAGAGAGGGTGACTACAGAGGGGTCTGGAAGAATTTGTTGCAGATACATGTATAAATTAAAACTTGATCGAACTTGCTGATTCATCTTTTTTTCAGTCAAAGAAATAAAGCTCATGATAATCGAATAAAAACAATGAGTTTAAATAGAAAGTATAATAACTGGTTTCTTTCAACTTTTGTTTATAGAAAAAAAAGATTCGAATAATGATGTGCATCCATTTGCCCTTTCCTTTTAAGGGCGGTGATCTGTCCGAGAAACAAGCCAATAAGAATGCGTAAATTTTTGATCAACGCGGAAAACAAATCCAACGTAAAAAATGAAAAATATGGAAAATGTGTGTTTTAATCTATCTTGGAGCACTAATTAAAAACGTCAGGGAGACAATTTTACATGTACTTTAGCCTTCCACTCTAACCTTAACCCTAGCACTAACGCTAAAAACCAACCTTTAGCACTTTGATAAACACGTATCATATGTTCACCAGGCTTTAGCCACCTTCTTTTTTAGGTTTGCTATACATGTACATACTGCCAGATCTTGCATTCCGTATTTTCCATCATGGGTGTCACAAACCAATTTCACCAACCTTTTTGAAGAAATTATGCGGTACCGTGGATGGGATAGAGAGTGTCATAAATGATATCTATTTTAGAACGAAACTTGAGAACAAGTAAAAAACAACACTTGATAATTGCCAATAAATATTTTGCAAAACATTCATATCCAACTCCCAAAGATTCTTAAAGCGAAGAATCTGCTAAGTCTGTATCGCATACATTCTGTCAAACTTAAGAAATGGTAACTTCGTTAATAAATTCCATCAACTATAGCAGCAACTAGTGTTCCGAATGGTCCGGGTTTGAGACCGACCCGAAAATCAAAGGACCGAACCGGATAATACGGGGCGATTTCGGGTTGACCCGAAATTAAGTGAATGTAACGAATATTGATAAGCTAGATACAGTCTATAATAAATTTGGTGGATGGATGGAATATTCCAGCTTATCGAGTTTTGCCCTGTGGTAACATTATTTTCCAGGACAAATAGAGTATCGAAGGCATAACGATAAGACAAAGAAATTTAGTCACATATTTATTACAGATTCCTACAAAAAGTTTACAACATTTTTCGGAGTGTTATTTCGACACCCAATTGGATTCGCATAAAAAATACTATCTTTTGATTTGTCATGACTAGACAAATCGTATGGTAGTATTTTATGTGAATCAGCTGGGGTTATTTACTTATTAATAGTGATAGTGACAGACTAGAAATGTCGAGTTTACTTTAAAGCAAAATTCTATATCGATATATATACACAGTGAAACTCGATAAGATAAAGTCATTATAAGATAAAGTGGGTCTAAGATAATTTTTTTTTTGTCCCAAAACTATAATGATCTATAATTATTAAATTTACCTCTAAAAACAATAACCTCGATAAGTATAAAAATAACCAGCCTGGAGACTTTACCTCATTAGGACTTCCATTTAGATTAATGTTATTCGTATTACCGTTACGCCTACCATTGCAACAAGCATTTGATGATTGAAAGAACGTATAAAAAAGAAGCTTTCTATGAATTCTATTGTTGTGTGTAAATAATAATGACTCTATTTTAATACAGCAAATGCATGTTGTAGGCGCAATGTATCATTTTCCATGTTGAAATAAAGATATAGCGATAAAAAAAGTGGCACAGGACGGAGATATATTATTTTTGCCCATGTGTATGGGGATGATAGCGACAATTTGTAAACGTGATATACTAATACTAACGCTAATACGTAAAAGTGTTAAATTCTAGAATAGAATATCATACGATAAAATGCACTAATAAATAGTAATTATGAGGAAAATATATGTACAGCCACAAAGCAATAGAAGTCGTTTCTTTAACTCGAAACACAGTTATAATTACCTACTAGAACATGTTTTCAGACTAAAAAATATGATTTTATTGTTATTTAATTCAATAAAGTATAATCTAATACTTTCCAGTTTCATTTAATAAAGAGCATGTTACATTATACGTAAAGTTTGGCCGTTCTTGAAAAATGCTCGACATATCTTTTCTTCATTAATTTGTTTAAAAGAAAAATAGTAATAAAGCCAATAAAATAAACAAGCAATTTTACCTTCGTTCGGAACATACAAACTGATACTTGAAAAGTCTAAGCATCGATATAAATTTTTATTGACATGCGATATGACTTTGGCCATTCAAAAGGTTCATAATGTTAGCAGCAATTTCCGCGCATTCTTTTATTAGACAGGCAATATCTCTAAATCATTCAACTTTGTGATATTCATTGCATTCAAAGCAATTGTAATTTTTTTGACATTTGGTACATTTACATTTACTAAACAAGTAACCATACAACCATAGGTGCTTGAATCCATTGAGTACTGTGCTTTAATTAAAACTTTGAAATGATGGTAAAATATTAATACGTGTATGTGTGGAATTTCCTTTGTAGAACCGCCGCCTGTGTTTGTGAATCAAGTTTTATGCGTTGAAAATGACACAGAACCAATAAATCAAACATGTATGAGATAAAATTTAAAAAGACGAATATTTTCATGCATGAAAAAACGAGACGAGGTGCATAATGCCTTTTTATGAAGTCATACCAGAATAAGGGATGACTCAAACTGGTTTCGGTATATTGAGTTTCTATAAGAATACATGTAAAGGCACCTGAATCCCGACATCCATTACCCCGACAGTAAATTTACCCGACATGATGTTTTTCAGAATGAAGATTTCCTCAACAAGAAGTTTCCCCAACATACGTATTAACTGGTTGACTTTGCATGTAATTAACAGGTTAGAGTCAGAGTTAGAGCTAGAATTAAATGTAAGCTTTCCTCCCCGTCATTTTTGCTTAGTACATCAAGCTAGATCTATCAGAAAAATGTCATGTAAATGGATGTCTGGATATGGCTTTGTGTCGGGGAAAGGAGTTTCGGGGTAATTATACCGCACCCACTACAACTTCATGATTTATTAGATGAATCTGGTATGTGTTAATTTATATATTGTATACATTATAAAAGAAATAAGAATCATATCTTTTTAATTTATAAAGTCTAAAAACATAACCTGAAATCATTAACAGGTTTTGAATTATTTATAGCTACACAGCAGCCAAAGCGGTTTTATTCTTACTGTTATACGTACTTGGAATAATTTTAGGCATTTAAATAAATGTCATTACCATGAATTTTGAGACAGCATTTTTCTTAAATAGGGGATAATGTTTATAACATAGTATTAAAAGCGGCTAAATTGATAAATACGTAGTTTTTCACTCGTTCTGAATAAAAGACGTCGATGGATAATGCAAATATCGAAAATTTTTTTCATGACGATAACAATAATTCAAATGTGTAGTTTATCGTAAATAAATGCCAACATTAATACTAGACTTTTTAATATTTAGATCACACAGGCACTAAATTCTCAATCCACGAGGTTGCAACCTTTACTAAATCCTTTACAACTGACAAATTTAAAAATTATTTAATTAAATCATACAGTAGCATATGAATAAAGATTTACTTTTGAAAATAAATCAAATCGTATTCAAACACAAATCTGCTGAGAATAACGATAATTATAGTTTTTAACGAAAAAGTATTAATATTAATACACAAAAAAATAACATATAAAGTCATCAAACATTATAAATGTATAAACTTCCATACTAAGAAGTAAATACAAAATTTAATCCGTGAATATGATAAAATAGGCTTTTCTGAGCGTATTCACGGATTAAATTTTGTATTTTCTTCTTAGTAAAGAAGTTTATCCATTTTATAAAATACAAACGTTTGATGACTTTAGATTTTATGCACCATAGCACAAAAAATTCATACATCCATGTGTATTATGCCATCGCAGTAATACATGTAATAATAATGAATTAAAGTTAACAATAATAAGGGTAGTGACATATATTAGGTATATTTTAGGAGTGGGGCAGAGCTGGATCTTAGGTAGTACATAATTAAGCATTTTTGATTGGTTATAATACCTTACTTGGGGTTGGACACCTCTATCAAAATGATATTAGGTAATAAATGTCAGCGCCCTAATGTACATGTATTAGCCTTAGCGATCGTGATCGTGTTCGTTATCGTTATCGTTATACGTAGTGCTCGCTGTTATCGTTATATCGATATGATCGCTTAATCGACAGTTAACTGACAAAAATTGATCTACCACTTAGGAAAATTGCATAACTTCGATTTTAGTGAGAAAAAATAAATAACAAATAAACGAGTTAGTTTATACGTAGTTGAAAGAGTCATATAGATAAAGGCCACTTTGTTACTTTTCAATTATAAGTCAACTTGTTCCATTTTACTAAATAAAAAATTATACACATTCGTTCTGATTTGCTATTTATTTTTCTCACTGAATCATTTGTATTATAAAAGAAACTTTAATCAAAGCTACAAAAATTTTTAAGTTGTTTCTGTCTCAATTAAGGGATCATCATATACCGATACATGTAATGTCACATATAAATTCTTAATGAGAAGATTGTGAAAGTGACTTTCACTTAAATGATAACTCTCCTGACCATAAACTAACTCATTTTGTTTCACTAAATAAAAGATTATACACATTCGTTTCTTACCAAAATCATTGCAATATAAAAGAAACTTTAGTAAAGCCACAAAACTCATTACGATTACCGTCATGCTCAAATGGCAAAGAGCAATTATTGTGAATTTTGTTTCGCTATTTTTGAGATATTTAAAACAATTTTTATTTAACGTTAACTTCATTTTTATAAGAATAAATTACATGTGTATATATTAAAGTCATACAAATAGAAGTTCTTTCTCCACCATGAAAGGTGTTCTGCCTCATTTTTCATGCATAGAAATCAATCTACTGTATATAACAATATACTCGTAGTCAACACACGCATGGAAGTCAAAATTAATAACGATAAAAGTTCAATCATGCACAGGCCTGGTTTATTGGTCGTCTTTTAATACGCCAAACGTATGTTGTGTTTGTAAAATGCGTTTCTGTGTCTTTTTCATGCATAGCGTTAACACAGAAATCGATTTACAGATACAAACGGAAGTTCTATAAAGTATAACAATCGATTTTTACCCATATAACGTCAATACCATCAATAACACATAACCATAAACCAATAAAAGATGTATTCGGATGCTTATGATTGTAGTGAATGTTTTCGTTGTCGGAACAATTACGTATATTACATACTGCGATGAATGTTCAGTTTACAATACTCATGGTTGTAGTAAATGTTCTGATTGTCAAATAATGATATCAACTATCGCTATTTATAGAATAACAGAAAAACTTACCAATGTTAAATATCTTGCAAAAAGGAAGTTTAAAACAATTTACCAGCAACCTGGTTGGATGGATCATTAAAAAGGGAGTGGGCTCATGTATAAAAAACGCGATATGAAGAATCCGAAGTTGTGTTGAGAACATTACATAATTCAAAGCAAATTACATTATCTATAGTACGTAAGTTAAAAATGAGCCATTGCTAAAGTGCAAAATAATATTTTCTAATTAAGTTTATCAAAAATAGATTCAGACTGCTTTAAAGTGCACTTTGGGAATAATTTATGGAATAACTAAAAACTCAGCTACATATGAATACTCGATATACAAAAGACGGAGTGGTCTTCGCGAATATATTAATTTCAAATACGAAAAATTGACTTGGGAACAAAATTAATTTATTTAAGTTGAATATTAGGGCTGAAATTACATGTACATATACGTACCGGTACGTACACTGTTACGCAAATCGTATCACTATCGCTATGATTGTATTCATATACATGTAGTCTTACAACAATCGCTATAAAATTAGCCGAGTCCAAATACGTATACCGATACTGTCTAAAAAGCACAACTATGAAAGAAGTATTTTATTCACGTAGTCTTTACGATTATGAAATCTGGCAAAATCATTATATGTTGACAATGAGTAATATAATTTTATGTTTTTTTACGAGTATGAATTGAGATATAACTTAGCAAAACTATTATTGAAATAGAATGAAGTGAAATTAGATCTAAAAGATAATTTAGGACATAAATTTCATATAAAAAGTACTCGAATCAGCCAATCATTCCAATATAAAAATTGAAAATATTAATTCAATTTATTAACGATGGTTAAAGTCTCTAAAAATTTTGTTTTCTTGTGCCTAATCTTTGTGGATATTTGCATATTTGTTTCAGCACAAGGTGAAGACACATTAATAGAGTAATTCATTAATACTCACAATTTGCTATCTAAGCTAATTTGTTTAATGTTTACTTAAATTGATGAAGGTGGTTCTGATGATGGTGCTAATCCCAGTGGTGATGATGGTGGTCGTCGTCGTCGTCGTCGTCGTGATGGTTATGGTCAAGGTGGTGCTTCTAATGATCTTAATAAAACCTATAAACCGTGTCCTTCATGGTTCGATCCATGTACGCTTACAATTTGTCCGTTCGAATGTGAAAAAGTGTATGTCGAGAAAGACGTATGCAAACCAAAATGTATAGTGTGTGACGCTTCGGAGAAATGAACTATCCCTATTATGAGTAGGAAATTTGAAAAGTTCGGTTTATCAAGATTTATTTAGTAAATTCGGAAATAAAGAATCAATTTTCATGCACATGCCTCTGATTTTAATTTTGGCCAGAATTAACAATGATCCGCATAATTCTGGTCAGTACATGTATTTAGTTGCCAAAAATCTTTCGAGCATAGTAAAAATCCACTTACAAAAAAGAATAGGCCACTTCTTTGAAAATAACTTTCTATTAAGTTGAATTTTAATAACTAACCTATTAAATAATAGAGATAGAATTAAATTTGTATTTGTTGATTTTTGGAAAGATCGTTCAAAATTTAGGTGTTCTTTTGAGGAGCGTTCAGTTGAGTTAATTTCTTCGATTCGATCTATGAAAATTTTAAATTAGGTAACCTATCGTTATCATTATGAAAGCTATGGTTCAAATTAACATGTTATATCGATTAAGTTATAGTTTAAATCAAAAACCATTCACACGTTTTCGCGTTAAAAATCTAAAACTGCCCTTATTGATTATGATTGCGAAACAGCACGATGGATACGACAACCAACTAATAATACCCCTCTTACGGAAACATGGCAACCAAATAATGAACTCGCTCTTCCCAAAACCCTACCATCTTGTTCAAATCCATATCCAAATTTATCTCGTTCACCTACTCCTAACAAGTTCATCAAGTGTTCCTGCTTCTAGCAATCAAACATCAAGTACATCTGCTTTTAGAAATCAAGTGTCAAATAACAATCAAATATCAAATTCATCAAGAATTCATATAAAGAAAATTGGGTACGATTATAATTTAAAGAGGACCGAATTACAAAAAAATTATTTTTCAATTAGCTATTAAAAGTCTGCAAAATAATGAAAATATTCCTTGTCCTACTACTTGTAAACTTACCACTTCGACAACAAATTTGGCAAATCATCTAAAAATGAAACATCAAATATATCCTCCTATGAGCTCGGTAATTCTAAATAACTCAGCACAAAGAACAATTAAACAAATGTTTGAATCTACAAATCCCTTACTATGTTCCAAAAAAGAAAAATACTTTTTCAACTTATTGCTTGGCTTGTCGATGACATGCAACCATTTTATGTAATCGAAAATAAAAAATTTTGAGAACTAATTTACGAGTGTGAGCCATTTTGAATTTTCCTGCAATAATATAAGAAAAAATAAAATCAGACTATACTATGATGCAACTAAGTAAATTAATGAATAAAACAGTGTTAAAGTTTCTTTCATGGATAGCACATTATACTTCATATATTAGAGTAATGATACATTGGCTCTTTATTGATTTTGTACCATATCAAGCTCTTTTAACAATCGAAAACTTTCATATCCTTATATAAGTGACCATATTGAAGATAACCTTCAAAATCTATTTGAACAATAAGGAAATATTTCAAAAATATTTTATAAACATAATGGATAATGTTTCTTAAGTGAAGCAAGCAATACAACAACTTTGATGCGATCATATAGGATGAATGGCACACACTTTTCAGCTAGTAATTAATGATGAACTCAAGTTAATAAAACATAAACTAATAAAAAAAGCATGAAATTTGAATAATTTTCTTGTAAATCATGATAAATATCGAGATAAATTTAAAAAATACAGCAAGATATTATAAATTGAACAAATAATCAAATTCTTTCAATCTTACAATATAAATATCCTATCAGTAATGATAGCAAAACACTTTAGAATTCAATATTTATTTTATTAAAATGACTTTTATTATGAGAAGCAATTGATGAACATCAATTTCAGTTCTAATGTGATTTAGATCATTAAGTGTGAGTATGATAAAATTTAAATAAATTGATATTATCAAATTATGATTGAAAATGTTTAATGAGTTAGTAGTTCTATTCAAGTTTTTTGCTACTGCAACTACTCTAATAGGTGGAAGTTAATATCTGATACTATTACAAATATTCTCACTCTTTACCAACTTATTTTCTCTTAAATACAATAAATTCAATAATTAATTATCCAGAAATCCTTATAGTTTTCAAAAAATACATGAATTATTGACAGAAAGATAGAAAAATCCAAAGATTTTTGATTATATTATGTCATTTTTGAATTCAAGATTTAAAAAATTAAAGAAAAAAGTCATAAAAAGTATAACAATACTTTAAAACTCTCCAATATTTGACACAAACTTCTTATTCACAGAATTAATCTTTTATATCACCATTTTACCCATTAAGTTAGAACTTTGAATTTATTGGCACTTTCAAAATATAAAGTAACTCTTTTACTATATGCAACAACAAGCAAGAATCTATCTTGCAATTCCAGTCTTTCAGTTCTTGCTAAATATACTTTTAATAATATTAATGATATTCTAACTAATAAAAAAATCAGCTTGATCCTACAAATATACATGATCTTCTTAAAGAAATCCAGTTTTTATAAATGTATTTTCAAAATTACAAATGAATTAATATTATATATATTGCAATGCATTTATAATAAATATATTCTAAATAAAGAAATTTACGTAATTATTACATGAATATAATACAAAAAGAAGTGTGTATCATTACACCCTTGCCAGTTTGAGCCATAATTTTTTTAGTTACTCGCAGTTGTGATTTACAATCACATTTTTTTAAAATACAACAGTGGGAAAAACATTCATTATCATCACGAAAACATTTACCACATACAATATGCCTTGAAAGAACTTAATAAACGGCAAAATGGGAGTAATTGTCACAGCAAAAAAGCTAGAGCATACAAATAATGAGATTTTAGCAGTTATTGATTGCTCTTGTCCTTTTGTACTATGTGTATGGGAGTTGTATGAGCAAAAAAAACTTTCTAAAAACAAATGATTGACCATGAATTCTTGATACATCCGCACGCAAATGTCTCAAGCGTTGCTTCCTCAAATTTTGTTAAATTTTATGAACAAAACTAATAAAACAATTCTACACAAACTATTCATAAAAAATTTTTTTTCAAAAAAAGAACGCACCTCACACTGCAAACTCACACGTTCTTTTCTCGCCTCTTCAAATATCGAATTGCTTCTCTGGCTGATCCAAAGTCCTGATATTAGCCTGATAGAATATATTTGGTCGTATATTGAGGTTAAAATTTGCCTCAAGTATCGCGCAATTGGAACAGTGGTAAAGGAGAAATGGGATCAGTACCCGTAAATTATTACCATAATTTGATTAAGTCCATGCTACGTCAGGTTCAAGCTGTTCTTATAATGAATGAGGGTCAAAAAAAGTTCTGAATGTATTTAATAAAATAAAAAAATAAAGTTTATTTCGTAAAATGTTTTACAAAAATGTTCAATACTTTTTATCTCCTCTCCGTTTATTAATAGATCATGCGACAAAAATTATGATTCTTTCAAATTTAGGAAAAATTAAATTCATTTTTGTGGCTTCAAAAAACTTTTGATTTAATTTCAATATAAATTTTTTGCGTAAAGTCTGTGCATGTTGATGAATTGTATTCATTCGTGCATTTGACTGAATTACAAGGTATTGGCAAACTTTTAAATGCTATTAATCGGAGGACATTTAATTTTTCGCAAAATTTTGAGACCTTAGTCAACCTGTCTATACTTTGGACTATAGTCATGACTCTTTAATAGCATTTAATGAAACTTTTTGAAAAACGTCTATAAAAAATATCCTATTATGACGAAATTTATAATTAGGATTCAACGACATTTATATTTGTTTCCTGATATATTGTGTAAAGATCTCTGTTTGTATGTCTTATTTTTACTTTTTAAATATGTGCATGCAGCTAATTCCACCACTATCATTATTTTTGCGTATGTGGACTGCTCTGTAACAAATTTGAATTTGGCTCATTATGCATGTACTTATCCTTTTATTTAATACAGTTAGTTTATAGTGTCGCAGGATCCCCAGCTCAGCGATCACGCAACAGAGGGAAATACTCAGAGGATCATGTTTCTCTTTGGTGATACTAGAGATGGTGCAGCAAGTATGTGACGCTTATTTGTCACCCGTTGCAACATGTTGCAACTCCAAAATTTTATAAGCCGCAACTAGTTGCAACTAGGTGATGCTTTATTTGTCACCACGTTGCAACAGTTGCCGTGCCATCTTTAGGTGATACATATATGTATAACAATTCAGTATAATATGTTGTGCATTGGAAAAGGGTTAGGTATAAAGTTCAGGGTATAAAGAAAATTCTAACAAAATTAAAGAAGTTTACTGAGTAATAAATTCTGAGCCACAATATCGAATCCTTTTTTCTTAACGCTAATAACAATCTTTGAGCTTAAATAATATTTCGTTGTCATAGGTCACAATGTGACGATTTTGCATTACTAAATATAACTTGTCGAAAAAATGTATTTTATTAATAGAGCTTCGGATTAAAAAATATCTTGTACTGACTCGATGCTTACCTAAATAGTTACAGTATATCCCTACGAATTCAATATTATTTCAACTGATCAAAGTACAACTTCAACTATTCCAAAGAAAGGGAAAAAAACATGCAATGAAAAACAAAACCGAAGAACAGTTATACCATCGCTGTCGTCATCATCAAGAATCGATTTGGGTTGAGAATCGATTCATATCCATCCTATTGACAAAGAACTTAAGATACTCTATAACAGTGAGTCACCTGAGTTTTTAAGTATATTCATTAAAAGACATGATTATTGATGGTTCTGTAATCATCGTTAAAAGAAGTGCAGATGATGTAAGAACTTGATTTCAATATAATTTATTTATAAAGAAATACGTTAAAATAAAATTTATTATTTTTCAATAATATACATGTACATGCTTTATAATACAAAATTAAAAATAAATCACATGACCTTAGTTCATAAATGTAAAACTACGGACCATATTACTCCTGTTTTTTTTTTGGAATATTTTTCGACCTTTGTTTCTTTTTTGCTGGTTCTTTCTCAGCATCAATCTTATCCTTCAATAAACCAACGATAACCTCTATTACTCATTTTACATTTTCACGTAACGAGTGTTCTTTTCTTCTTAACAGCAGCTTTGGTTAGACTGATATAGCATTGGTATCACTCATACAGGATATGCCATCCGTAACATACACATATTTTGCTAACACTATGGTACAATGAAAATGCCCTTCACTTTTGCTCTCTGCACAACTTACATGTATAATTTATATTTATGGAATTGGGATCGATTTTGTAGTAAAACGTTAACTGATGTAATGCTTTTTTGCAATTTCATCTCAATGCTTTTGTTGTATAAGATCTCTATAATGGAGTATGATTTACGATACCAAATAATAATAATGTTCCCGAATAGTGCAAATTTATTATTGAAAAATGTAGGGAGCTCTATTGACAATAACTGAGATATATGCTATAATTCCATCCATCAAATGGTCGTTTGCCTGTTACAATCTCGTATATAGTCACTCCAAAAATATAAAAGTTGCAGTTTGAGTGTATGGCTTTCGATTTAGTACCTCTGGGATTAGATTTATTTAATTAGCTAGACTGGCAAGCAGAATCTATTTGAAAGATTAGGTAACAAAAAAGCAACATGTTTAAACCTTCATTTTTACTTTGTTTGTAGTTTTCTTTAACGGGAATGATCCCACTCATATTTGTGTAATGATGATTTTCCTTTTGTAGGAGCCATGCGCATTCTTTTATTGGATAGTTGACATTTTTACTTCACTTTATAAATTCTGAAAACATTCTTCGCAGTAATTATTCATCACAGTTACTGCAATCATGAGTATTGCAGTAGCAGTTGTCATTTAATATACAATCGAGACATCCATTACAATCATGAGTATACATAGATAAAATGTTTTTAGTGATACTTAAAATGACGGTAAAATAAACGATAATTTATTTGGTTGTTATGTTAAAAGAATAGCCATACCTCTACTGTAAATCGATTTCTGTATTAATGTTATCGTTATACATATTACGCCTACAATTTATCGGTGTGTATAACTTTTTCCTACATGCACGTATTTAGTTTTATTGTTTTAGATGACATATGATCAAATTTAATTGGCAGAACATGTATTTAGATCTGCATTTTTAGTGAAAATGAAAGATTCTATCGCTATCAAGAAAGTAACCGACCATCATTATGTACACTACCCTATCAAAAGTATCCGGTTGATCAATAAAAATTATATTTTATTATAAATGTTTAATATTTAGTTGGCCATCCTTGGTTTTTAATACATGTTTTACTCTTCCGTGGCATACTTTTAATTAAATTAATATAAGTTTCGGATGGGATTTTTTCCACATTCTTCTTGTAATGCTTCTTCGAGTTCATAAAATTCTTGTTAGAATTTTTGTATCGGGAAATTGTGTCTGTAATAGTACTTTTTTGAATTTTACTTTTTTGAATTTTAAAGATACGACCAATGGCTCATGAGTATAAAAAGGCCAATAACTTGTCTACGCTCAAATCCATTTAACTCACGATTTTTTTCCTATTTCAAAATATGCTTCGAATGGCACAGTAAAGAAAAAGTTAAAGATTGTCACGATCATTGTTTATATTTTTATTATCAAATTAGGTGTACGCGTCATAATACAAAACAAATACACACAGTTAATCGTCAGAACCAAAACATTTATTTTTTGAGAAAATCAAAAAAAGCTTGACCGGATACTTTTGATAGGGTAGTGTATCAATAATATTGGAAATATAAGTGATATATATGGAATTTTCTATGCATAACAAATCAAGCAATACAAGATTTGATTGATAAGTAAATGCCAAACACTAGCGATTGTATTTAGAACTGTGACATATATTATGTAATATAAGTTTACTATAGAGCCCCCTTTTCTCCAGGTAAGATATTTGAAGCATGTGACTTTATATATTACATAAGACACTGTCATTATCCCTCCTCCCAAGGATATTACAGAATCTCTGTTACAGCCTTTACAAAAAAAACAAAATGTTGTAAATAATTTTCTGTATAACGTACATGGTATGATACATGAACAATACTCTTAAAATTACTTTTTATATAACGATAACATTTATGTACATGTATTACAACTACGTATAACTATCTGATCTTTGCATCAAACGATCATAAAAAATGCAGCATGTATTTTGTACTAATTATGTATTTATTTTTGAATTGGAAACAATAATAAATATCTAATTTTTACTATTTAAAAATGATACTATTAATGAATAAATTCCATAAAAAAGGAAACTTTGAACTTGCATGAAATATTTTGATTTAACAAAATTTTTTTGTTGCATTAATTATGATCGCAATTGTAATTCAAATGTTATAATTTTCTAACACTTATAGTGCATAAAATCTAAAGTTATCAAATGTTTGTATTTTATAAAATGTATAAACTTCTTTACTAAGAAGTAAATACAAAATTTAATCCGTGAATATGCTCAGAAAGGCCTATTCTATCATATTCATGGATTAAATTTGTATTCACTTCTTAGTAAAGAAGTTTATACATTTTATAAAATACAAACATTTGATGACTTTAGATTTTATGCACCATAGACAATCAAATGGAGATATTATTGTTTGGATCATGAGATATCATGTCCCGAAGTTACTGGACATTTTCCCATTTATTTAAAATATGACCACATAACCAAATTGGATAAAATATTTACTGAGATTTAGTAGAATAGTGGTATCAGCAACTTTAAACATGAATTACCAGACTATTTTTGTAAAAATTACTACCATCGAATTCAACAAAACTAGAATTTAATCAAAGTGTATATTGAATAATGCATCATTTAATTTTGAACAAAAAATTTAAAAATTGATCCAATAGCTTTGCGACATGATATCTCGTGATTCACAATTTAATAAATATCACCAAGACTAGATGAATTCGAATGGTCTATTTTTTTGTCTGGATTGAACATATGGATAACGAGATATCGCGTCCCAAAGATTTCCATCTTTAATCCAGAAATTATATAATTAAACCTGCGGTTTTCCGGAACTAAAAAAACCGGAATTATACCTGATTATTTTTTATAGAGCAATTCAGTAAACTATGTTGTACATGGGAAAATGGTTAGATATGAGGTTCAGGACATAAAGAAACCCCATAATATATTAATGAGGTTTAATGCATAATAACTCCGAGCCGCAATATTGAATCCTTTTTTCTCAACTTTAATAACTATTTTCTAACTTAATAATATTTCGTTGTCATAGACCACAACGCGATACTTGCATTAACTAAATACAAATTATCTGCAATGAAAAAAGATATTTCCAAAAGATAACAGAAAATCTTTATTAATAGAGCTTCGGATTAAATATATCTGGTACTGACCCAATGTTTACTTAAATTGTGACAGTACAGCACAAACGAAACAACACAGTACAGTAAAGCGAGCCCGTCAAATACAACCCGAATACACGAATTTAGAAAGTATATCACGTATTTAAAATAAATATTTAGAAAAATAAACACCACACCCGCCGCCTTTTGAGTAATAAATAAATAATTAACAAATATCAAGTTATAGAAATAAAACATAGCTATCAAGGAACATGATTTTCGAAATGAATAAGGAATAAATTACATGTAGCACTTAGAAACAAAAAATAAGTTAATATTTCTTGTTTTTGATTTCGTTAGTTTTATCTCTGTCATATATTTAATTTAGAGTAATAATGAATAAATAATCTAGATGCATAAAAAATGTAAGGTTTGTAAATTTCATATCATTGAATGGTATAAACTACTATGAAAAAACCAAAATGTGGAACTAAAATTAAAATTGATAATAAACTAAGCAAATTTGTCAAATAGCAATCGTCGAAGGTAATTTACGACAAATCTCCAGCCAAAAATGTAGAATCGCAATTAAGATATTCAGGGATGAATGGAGATTGTGGTGGTGGTGAAGAAATTAACGAGGTATTTGGAACGATTGAAGGATTTGTGGTAGTGGTTAGGTTATTTGTAGTTGTGTTAATTGTAAATGGATTTATTGGTGAAGGGATCAAGTTATTAGTAGTATTATTATCTTTGACATTAGATTCAAAAGGTTCTTTTGAGTCCGCAAATACGAATTCGTCTATCTGAGTTATATTAATACAATCATCAATTATTTCCTTGCTATTAGTTTCAACGAATAGATAATCATGTTCAGCACAATTCAATGGATTATTGGTTTGAGAAACATCTAATTGATCCAATGAGATGATCTCGTTGAATGTATCGGTATCAGAAAAGTCGAGAGCGTTCCATCAATCCATTTGAAGATAAAGATGCTATTGATGTATCAAATTTACAGATAAATCTTCTGGTATAGTTATTGGACCTTGAGTAAGAGAAGATGCAGTTATCAAGGGCATAAGTCCATTTAAATAAAAATCCAATTGTCTGGTGTTAATCGGAGTATATTGCGATAAACTGAAATCAAAAATAGTACTAGACTCGGCCAAGTACATTGTGGCCGAATTAGAAGAAGAGGAAGAACATCGATAGAATAAGTGTTTGAGACAACACAATTGTTATTACTGTAATTGTCTTTATCGTCATCATCATAAAACTCGTCGTTATCTTCACAAGATACAGATTCTTTTTCTTTGGACTATATTTATAATTGGATACATAATCTTATGTTTCTTAAAAGCGATTCTTTGTAGCAAATCAAAGTATTTCTAGGCTGCGATCTCCATTTAGCGCCGCATTCTTTAGAAATATCCTGGAATTTATAAGTGGCATTTGGATTAAGTAGACGCAATTTTGCATCATAGTCTTTACGAAAGATGATAAATTTGTTCTTTTGGCGGGTGCAAGAAGCTTATCCATAGATAAGAGTAATTTATATGGAGGATCGTGTAACATTTTTTTGTCATGCTCAGACATGGTGTGACTATGTGGTCGATAATTGTCTGTTGCTCTGAATCAGTCGTAATAATAGTTGTTTTGTCGTCATTGTAGTCTCAAACGTGAAAACCGAATGAATCAGATTTTTGAGTTTTTTATTATTTGAATTTACATTATTTAAGAAAAGTGAGTTTATCCAAACAATAGAGAGCAAGCAATATGAAAACGGATTTTTATATACGTAAACTTTCCAGGCGACATAGAAGAATGATGCTACGACACAAAGAACGATGGCAATTTCGGATAAATGGCATGCAGTTACGTTGCCTGCATTTACATGCATAAAATGAAGACAACCAAATTATACTGTTTTCTGAGTTTTCAATCATGCTAAAATCAAAGGTTGATAGATACAGGTATATCGCATAAATGACAACGTGCCATCAAATATATACGTACGTAGTTTTATATTACTGTCAATCCTTATTGCAAAAAAGGACAAAAGTCTCACGAAGATCCTCCAACGCCATCTCCTTCAAGCTCTTACATAGCGTGAAGGTGGGTTGTTCAGAGCCCCCGGCCAGCGGGGGATGCTTCCGTCTGAAATGCAAGTGTTAGTACGATTATTATATCGTGGATTTGATATATATATCAAATTTTGGATTACTGAGTTTCACTTGACAAAAATTGTGGGATAAAAATTAATTATAACAAGATGATTGGCTATCGCTAATCACCCCTTGCACAAAAATGCAAATCACACGATATCGATATACATGTAGTACGTAAATACCGATGCGTAATACATGTAGTACATGTAACAGTAAAGCATGACTTGGACAAGTTTACTTTAATTCTGATTGGTTGTTTATGTTGTTGTTAACGATCTACATATCGATATATGATTATTTCTTCACACATTTCTTTCTTGCTACCGCTATTCGCGAGTTGTTTCTTCAAAGTTTCTTCTTTTATTTTTTTTACTGCTGACTTTATCCCGTTATTCTTTCCTTTGACTTTTCTCGCTTGTAAGACTTTCAAGTAATCACCTTTGTGGTAGTATATCCACACTTCTTTCTTGCTAGTACTATTTACACTCAGTGCTGAGAGATGTTTTGCGAGTTGTTTGTTTTTAAGTAAAAACGAGAGTCGTTGTTTGGCTGTTGATTCTTCTTTCCCAAATAGTATATAAAAAAAATAAGAAATCACATTCGTGGCAATGAATCTAAAAAATGATCACCTCCGTGGTGGTGTATCCACTTCTACCTTTGCGGTAGTGCATCTAAAAAATCATAAAAAAATAAAAAGCAATCACCTCTGTGGTAGTGTATCCACCTCTACCTTTGCGGTAGTGCATACATCCACTTTAGTGGTAATGCACCTATACTCGGGGCAGTGAATCTAAAAAATCAAAAAAAAAAAACGAAATATTGGGAACGCCATCCGAGGTATTGTCAAATTTTGAAATTGATTCACGAAGAATATTTTTGATGGTTTCATTGGTTGGTATACCTTGAGGCTCTGATAATTTGGTGATGACGAGTGAAAGCACAAGTTAAAAAATGAAATGACAGCGAGAAATGTGATATAAGTTTGGATTATTAGCAAATTATACCACGCAGACAAGAACGAAACAAGGCTATCAAAAAATCAAGCCAAGACGCGTTCACTTTCATTGACTAAACTTATTACAACTCACCGTCCGGTGGTAACGGGTTATTCTACGGTAACGTGGATTTTTTTTTGGCAATGTTCGATGATAAGAAGCAGGAAAAAAACACAAGATTAAGTATTCGGAATTATAAAGCGCAGACAAGAATGTAGTAACGAATTCAAGCACATTAACTTATGCTTCGATTGAATTTTTGCGTGTGAACACACCAGGCGCAGAGATTAGAAACCTCAAGTAACCACATTTCTCATCATCCTCTGTTAAACTATCAAGGCAAGCTTGTGCATCAACTTGTATTTTTTCGTCTGAAGCCAAACCGAGACGATTAATTTCTCCTTTTAGAGCTGTTAGTGCAGTATCCATGCTTGGTAGCTCTGAAACAAAACCGAGACGATTAATTTCTCCTTTTAGAGCTGTTAGTGCAGTATCCATCGATAGTAATATAAGTTACACAGCCCGAGAAAGAAATTTATGAAATCTGATAGTTACGCGATCAAAATAATTCCATCATGTACAATCAAGCGAACCTAGAAGTTTGATTTTTTCAGCTGTTATTTCGATTCCTGACATGAATGTCTGTAAAGCAGATGATAGCGTTGATAAAGTCGAAAAGTTCCTTGGCAGATGGTCTGTTTTCTGGGACAGGATCCAAACATTTTTTTGATATCATAGGTTGTATTCCATTATAGATGTCTAATACGAGATCATTACCATGACTTTGTTCACTAAATGGTCGTTCTTCTGTGACAATCTCGTACATAACCATCCCAAATCCATAAATATCTGCAGCTTTAGTGTATGGTTTCCATTTAGTACCTCTGAACTCATATAAGGAAGTACTCCGCAAATTTTTTGCTCAGTTTTTTCTATATCTGCTGGTTTGATAAGTCCAAAGTCAGCAATTTGAGCTTCATTAAGATGCAATAATATATTTCCAGGATGCACGAATTCCTTATTTTGAAACTTATTCAATTCTTCAATAATATTAAATAAATAACTGAATTTTTGTTCTCAATGCTTCATAGATCTTTTGCATAATTTGTAGCCGAGTTTTTAGTTATTCCATAATAAAACCACGACTGCACTTTAGATCAGTCAGAATCTAATTTTGAAAAAATTAATTGGATTGAAAAACAAAAAAGTTAATATGCTTACACTTAAAGGAGTTCATTTTACCTCGTTTCTAAACTCAGATGTAATTTGCTTTGAATTGTGTAATGATTTCAACACAACTTTCAATTCTCCCCATCGTTTAAATTTATTTTGTGCATGATCCCACTTGTGAATTGGTCCATCCTACCAGGTCGCTTTATAAATTCTTCCTGTTGGAAGATATTTAACATTGGTAAATCGTTCAAAAGGGATCCATCGGAAACGCGTATTAATGACTGTTAATTCTTTTGTTAGACCATCGATATCTTTATTCTCGTTATACCATTTAACTTGATAAAGTTGATAGTGATAATCGATGCATACACGGCAGTAATTCGATTTTTGACAATTAGTGCATTTAGTACAATCATGACCTCTCATCATCAAGTATTCATTTGTAGCTGTGTTTTTAGTTATTTCATAAGTAGCAAAACTGCACTTTAGAGCAGCCTGAATCTAATTTTTGAAAAGTTAAATATATTGAAAAACAAAAAAGCAATATGCTAACATTTTAAAAGGTGTTCATTTTACCTCGTTTAAAAACTCCGATGTAATTTGGTTTGAATTGTGTAATGATTTCAACACAACGTTGGTTTTTCCCTTTCGTTTATTTCTATTCTTTTCACAATCCCATCTATCAGTCGATGGTCCGTCCAACCAGGTTGCTTTATAAATTGATCCAAAACCTCCTTTACAAGATATTCAACATTGGTGAATCTTTCAAAAGGCATTCAAAACATCCATAGTTACTAATATCATTTATTAGACTGTCAATAGCTAAAATTTCAGCTTTATAAATTCGTTTAACAATTATTACACACAGAGCAGGACCTATTTTGTTTATTTGTTTATTTATTTTAAACCACTTAAATCGTTCCCAAAATATGCATATTATCACGATTTCGAAGTCATTTTTCCAAGGAGTAATAAATTCGTAAAAAAACTACATGTATCACTTTTAATCGTGAATAATGTCCTATAATAGGAATATCTAAATTTACAGGTGTATTTTCTTATAGAGCCGTTTACTTTTAAATATTTTTCGCAATTTTTATATTAGAAATTACACATAATAATTATATAATACAGTTAATAGAAGTGATATTTTTATCCCTGAATGTACCTGATATTTCATACATTGCAAATTTGACAAAAAAATTTATTTCAGAATTCAGATTTCTTAATATATATATGAATTATACATTTATAATTTCCAGGCTTAACATTATTAGCTGCTACGAAGAGAAATAAACTTAGTTTTCAAAGGTCTTTAGATATAATTACTTACTTGTGTACTGTTGCGTGCTACTATTTTAATCGGTCAAAGAGGGGTTTTTACGCAACTGGGATGAGAGCTAGACTGAATTA